AAGCATTACAACATTTTGCTTCTGGTGGTGCCAGTTCAAGGAGAGATTAGTGCAGGTCTGGTTTGTGGTCACTCTTACCGTATATTGGGTGTGGCACACATGAGGACATCGTTGAGCAGGAAGAGGCGTCGCTCCTTAGTTTTGATGATTTCACCACGCTCGTTGTAGACCGTCTCCACCATGTCGTCTGAGCGGATCAGGTAGCGGCTGCCATTGCTCAGAAGCTAGAGGGTAATAATGAGTCAGTTATTCTAAATGAAAGGACAGTAGGGTTTCCAATCTCTGTCAGCACTGTTTATTTAATCGTACCAAGTTCAGAGAATTAGCATATTAGACAAAAACATTCAACCAATCGATGTAAACACACGTATGTTGGTGAACACACACTGAGCAGCGGGCCAACCTTGTTGAGGTAGCGTTCGTTCATGGCCTTTGCAATGTGACGGATCTCGCAGCGCTGGTCAGCTTCCCTCTTCTTTTCATTGAGCTTCTCTGCCAGTGTCTCCAGTTCGGTCAGGGCCATCTGCAGTGGCAGACGGTCTGCATGACCCACTGGTGTGTTCTTCAGCATGTCCTGATGAGAATGCACAGAGAAGTCAAACATTAGGCATCTGCTGATGAAGCATCTCCTGCTTTTAGGTACGAAAGAAGTTAATGGATTAAACTCTACAATCACATCTTCAGTCATTTGATGTATAGCAAAAATCCTCATGACTGATATGTATTTAATAATAGAAAAAGAGACTACAAACATGGTATCACTAACAGCTATTTGAATGTGTATATGCAGTTTTTGCATTTTCTACTATGCGTGTTTATACTGTCCCACATTATTCTGCAAGAGGCACAGTAACTAAATATGCCAGGGCAAGATGAAAAGAGATCTGAGGAAACCATTCCCATTAAGGGCCTGAGACGTCCCCCTAAAGGTTAAAGCTTCAAGTGCCTTGATTTATGTGTATGGTGCACCCCCTGCTGGTGATTCTATATACCCTTCTATCTTCTGTATGTCTGCAGTCTTCTGTGAAGGAGCTTACAATAAGATTCCATCATACCTGAAGAAGCAGTATGAACTGTGGAAATCTCTGGATAGGTTTCATCATCAGGCTGTACAGAGTCACTCTGTCACTGCTGCTCTCCTGACGATGCTGTAGGCGAAAAGACGGGTTAGTAGTGATGCCAAATATGTTTAATGTTTTTGTATTGTCAATTTGTTGGCTCTCAAACCTTGAGGAATTCCAGGAAGCCAGGTTTGGAGGCACACGTCTTCCTCACCACCGCCATCGCAGTGCTGAAGTTGTTCACATACTCACTGTAGGCATCCAGCACCATGGACTTGGAGAACTGTTCAGAAACAAAGATGTATACATATTAACCACTTACAAGAATATAGGTCATGCTATTTCATGGGCATGTGTTTTAAGATATTGATGAGATTTTGGTTTGGCTTTCAGTCTTATAACAATGTTTTAAAAAAAGAAGGCTTCAACAATACCATTAAACTAAAGTACCGTAACTCAAATAGCCTTAATGTATCTACAATCGTTGAATATAGTATAGATATACTATAGTGTATATAGTATAGCTCAGCTGGTTTCCTCTGCATGTTTAATGAAATCACCTTCTTACTTTGCAATCTATTTGAAAATGCCATCACATGCTGGATTTGGAAGACCCTTCTTAAATCAAATGAAAACAAAACTGAAGTCTTAAAACATAATAAGATGGGTTGAAAATGCACCAGCTACTATCCTAGGATGGCATAAACTAATCTTTGACCTCATGCCAATAGGATATCTAACAAATAGATTCAAGTGTAAAATCGAGACCTTCTTTAGATATACTGATAAAAAAGACTTGTGATTTCTGTATTAAAGGGAATGGTGGATTACAGGCCCCAAAACAGGCAAAGAGATAGTTTTGGGTCATAAATCAGAATATATTTTATTTTTTCATTTGATTACTTTTATTGTATGCTTTGTTTTGTGAGCTTGCTTAAAACTCAATGCTTCTTATGTTTTAATTTGTTAATCTAAAAACAAAAACAAATGCTGTATCACTGTCAACTGTAGTTATTATACACTGAGTGTTCCCTATAGATGCTTAGATAATATAACATTCTTCATGCCATGCTGATGTGGTCACAGGCAATAATCCTCTTAACTATAACATTTACGGTATGCCAAGGTCACAACTTAAATGTGTGTTTAAAAATAAAAGAAAGTATAATAAGAATATTGGGGAGGAGGGGGGGGGGGGGGGTTCAAAATATCTGTGATTGGACACTTTATTGATTTCTTACATACAGGCCAGTTCTGCTTTAATCAACATTCAACATTGTCAGAATGAATGCCCTTCTTATAACCAACTGACATGTAGTTGGTTACTATTTGTAAAACAGTTTGTGGGATCCATGCTTCAAGTTTACATGAACACAAAACTAGAAAATGCGGTGCACCAAACAAAATAAGATTCATGTAACCAAACATAGAAAGATTTCCCAAAGCAGCTCATTAATGTTGTAGCGAATGAGCCGGCTGATCAAAGGATGCTTACTGTGTGAATCAGGGGAAAAGGCAAACACAAGTTTGAGAACAGAATTGATTTCTTACAGAATTCAAGGTGCTTTTAGGTAAAGAGGAAGTTAGAAAGCATATATTGTTATAAAAAAAAAAAAAACAGCGAGTGGCAACATGTTGAAGCTGCTGTCTGGCAGTAGCAGATCATCCATCACGGTTCTATGTGAGAGGATTATATTTGAAACCATGACACACTGTTCTGAAACTCCTAGTTGCTATTTTTGCATCTTTGATTACAATGACAAATGTAATTTCCTGAGATAGGCACTAAGAGAAGTTTCATCTTTATAGCTTCATTCTTTTTAAAAAATGTTCAATTTGTATTTCAATTACAGACAAAAACTGAATTTGTTTTAAATGTGCCTGAATGTAACTTATAAAATCTGTTTTTGGTTTCTTAACTGCTTATATACAAAATGAAGATATATATATACTAGGGCTGTGAGCATTAAATAGTTAATCACGATTAATTAAGGTCTGAAATTAAAGCTTAATTTTTTTTATTGCGATTAATCACATGCTAGTTTGTCCCTTTAGGTGCACCGAAGATAAGCCTCTGCAGTATCTCCTCGTAGTCACAGTGATGGAAAAGAGCAGCACTGCTGCATCTTTGAATGTCTCATGTTAATTAAAAAAAAAAACTCAGATGGCTCAGTTGTCGAGTCCAAAGTAATATCCACCTCTTGACAGCCAACATTTCACTTTTTCACCAGCCTTTTTAGCTGTTTTCAGTCTTATTCCGTTTTTTATCTGTAACAAATTCATTTTTCCCTTTACTCAAGTTAATATCGTAACCTCTAATCTACCAGAAGGTCCATACTTTATTTCAAAATAAAAGCAGGCTTGACTTTAAATAGCAAGTAATGTACTCAGAGCTCAAGACAGTACAAAAATTCAACATAAAAGTCTAAAATGTTTTACTTTTTAAATGCAAAGTAATGGAATTTTCAAACATGCAATTCATTGTGATTAACTGTATTAATTTAGAATAAAATTGAATTGTTTGACATCCCTAATATACAGTGTGTGTGTGTGTGTGTGTGTGTGTGTGTGTGTGTGTGTGTGTGTATATATACACACACACACACACACACACACACACATATATAAAGATTAACCAAACACAAGAGTGATGAATTACTTCTTTTTATCTAATTACATACTCAAATAAACAACATGTTTTGCCCGCATGGCTTCATTATATATATATATTTAATTGGTAGAAGTAATAAGGTTCTGTCTTATGACCTGTTATAATAGTGCTGTGCTGTGAAAAGCTAGAGGAAGTGGCCCATTGGTTATTTTCTTTATAATGAAAGCTGGCTGGCTCAATCACGCCTCCTACAGGACTGTCTCTACAGCTTCCTCTCCCCACTCTGTTCACTTCTACTCAGAAAGTGAAAGTGTCTGGAGGCAGTGAAACCGTAGTGTCAAAATTATCCCCTGGATATGTAATGCAGCGTAAATTCAAAAGACTTTTCAGTCAAGATGCCGGAAATGTTTAAAGTTACTTCAGCATGGTCTGCTTCTGCAGTACTCACCGTCATAAAACCACAGGTGGAGACGTGTGTGGCACTGTCAGGCAGAGAGCAGGATTAGAGCAGGTGTGTGTGTGTGTGTGTGTGTGTGTGTGTGTGTGTGTGTGTGTGTGTGTGTGTGTGTGTGTGTGTGTGTGTGTGTGTGTGTGTGTGTGTGTGTCGGGGCGCAGTGTGAGGTCTTATCAATAAGCGTTAGAGCTAATGATGGTCTGTCATAGCCCTGTGAGAAAAAGCTCTGTATGGTATCAGTATATCATTATTAGGCAAAAAAAGATCATCCTAAAGCACAGAGTACTCTGAGATGTAATGGAGTAGAAATATAAAGTACCATAAAATGTCAATAAATGAAACGTAGCTATTTCTCAAGTATTTCAATGTAGATTTTCAATCATACATTATTTCAGTTAGTTACCGGTACATTGAACAGTTAATGCATATTGTATACATGTATATAAAATGTTAGTAGTAATGTTTAGTTGGATGTTAACCTGATTAAATGCTTTTTACAAACCTTTAAATGAGAAAGGATATTTGTCTCCACAGTCACCTCTGAACACAAGGGAGTCAGTCTAAACAGAGTTGATACACACCATTATACTGTTTGTGTGTATGGCACTTACTTCTCAGCTTTGTAGTAGATCTTTTTAAGGGGACACATAGTTGATGTATAGTTATGTCATGTTTGACCGATAGTAAGGGGCCAGTTTGAGGCCAAAGCCAAATTATCTCCCCAGTCCTGTGCTGCTTAAAGCCTGTAAGAAAAAGCTCTGTGTAAAGTATTCTTTTTTTTGTTACCAGTTAAAACTTGACCTTGCCATTTAGAAATATCTATTTTCAACTCTCTTTTATATTATGAAAGCCTCTAAGGATGAGGGACTATTCCGTTACCTAAATAAGTGTCAAGGGTGTGAGTCCTGTTGTTTTAATGATGACTGTGAGTTGTAAGGTTAGCGAGGGCAGGGAACAGACTTTAAACAAGTCTAATGTGGCTCTTACTGATCATCTGATGTCATGCCAGGGGTCCATTTATGTGTCAAAACAAGGAAGTGAAAGGGAGAGCATGACTGTTGGAGATATGGTCTTTTGCTTTGATGTTGTCAAGAAGCCAGAGCGAACATAGGGTTTGATAATAAAATATATAAAAAAGCAAAGTTTAGTGTTCTGGGCCTCTGCCTCAGAGCAAGTCTCTTTGAAATAGGATGGTAGGACAGTTTTACAGCCGTGCTGCATGCTTTCACAAAAGCAAATAATTGAACAAAAAATAGAAAAAACTCAGAGCTACAGCTTCTAATGGATGCATTTTCAGTTACATATATTTGGGTGCAGTTCTTGTAAAAAGGCTTTAAAATGATAACTTACCGATGCCACAAAGACATCCCCGATCATCTCCAGGCTGTCCCACTCAGCGACACGGCTTGCCAGGGCGATCTGGAACAGGAAGTGGCTCTGCAGGATCTCCCGCACACGATAGAAGGTCATCTTCAGTTTCCTGTCGCTCAGCAGCTTTGGCTCAATCTGAGACAAGGGCTTCTCATAGTGCTGATGAAGCAGAGAATGTGAACTGTAATAACCAACCCTTTAAAAGTAAATTTCACAATCACTTCGCTGCACTTGCGTACCTCTAATATCCTCTTCAGTGCGTCCAGATAGTTCTTCTCACTTTCCAAAATAGATCCCAGTATACATCTTCTCACCAGCTGTAGGAGAAAGACACAGAGAAAAAAACATCATAAAACAAATTGTAAATTCAGATGTTTTTTTACAAATTCACACAGCATAGAATGACATAATTGGGGATACAAAATGTTTGGGATTTTTCATTACCTGTTGCTGTGAAAGACCCTCTGGTGCTGGACACAGAACTGGCTCACATTGAAACAGTCCACCTCAATGAAGAGCTCAGACTCCTCATCCTCAAAACAGGCCGACTTCCTCTCTACAAGTTTCAGATGCACAAATCAAGAAAAAAATGTCAGTAACCAGAAAAAGAAAGAAAAGGCATCAAGATGAGGGAAGGGATTTTTTTGTTGCTCTTTTGCCCCTTACTCATTTTTTCAAAGTCATATTTTTGGGTGATTTTTATTGGATAGGACAGCTGAAGACAGAAAGGAGAGGAGAGCGTGGGGCTTAGCATGCAGCAAAGGGCTGAGGCCAGATTTAAATCCACAGCAGCTGGACTACAGCCTCTTTTCATGGGGCGCACTTCATAACTGCTTTGCTTTCTGGCGCCCCAGAGAACCTCCATTTTTACATAAATTAAAAAATAAACAAAAGGAATGGGGAGAAGATTCTTTCTATGAAGAATAGCAGCCTTTTATGAATCACATACCTTGACAAAATGACTTGGTTTTGATGAAGGAGCGTCCCTTCTTTACCGCAGCTTTGGTTTTCTCAAGCCCATCTTTGGTCCCATCCTTAGCTGCCTTCACCAGCTTTTGCATCTTTGATGAGACAAAGAACACTAGCATCTTTTTGGCAGGAGAAACAACGCTATTGTTTTCATAGTTGAGAAGTTTGTTATGAGGTGAAGTTCAGTTTACTTTGAAAGGTTCTATGGTGAAAAAAAAAAAAAGCTACTCAACTGAGATCAGCTGGACAGGAGCAGTGTTAGAGTAAGGATGGAGATAACAATAAATCATGAATGTACAATCTAACAACTGCTTCTAAAAAAATACATCCTAAGCATTATAGCCTCTGATGCATACACGTATAGCAGGACAGGTCAGTGCAGCAGCAGACAAGGAGCTAATGATATGTATGCAAACCCCATCACCAGTACCACCACCACAAGCCATTCATATCAGAGCAGGATGTATGGAGTCAGTGAGAGACACCCAAAAGTGGTTAGCTGGACTGAGAGCAAAAGGGATGGAACTACGTTGTCTAGCACAGACAGGTGAGGTGAGCCTCAGGTAGTTTACCTTCTGCTCGTGTTTCTGTTTTAGCTGCTGTAGCTCTACCGTTCCCACTGTATTTGCCATTAGATCTTTCATCTTTTTCTCATAGTGTTCTTTCAAGCGTGTCAGATCTTGAGAGAGCTAGAAAGCAAAGCATGTGTTACTGGTTATGGTTTTGGAATTAACTTGCACCTTAGAGTCACTGCTCACTCACTGTAATCCTGATATGTGTTGCCAGAAGGCAGACTATATCCTCATGCAAAAAAAGATTACTTCAAAGTCATCTAATTGATGTTTAAAAGGGAGATGGATCCTACTCTGTGCACTAATGCCCTGTTCTTGCATGTTTTCTAATTGGATTGAGCATGTACAGTATGATCTCCAGTGAGAAGTTACTGCATGGCTTTCTCGCAGATAGCCCAGAAAGAAGAACCTCTTTTTCTAAGTACAGAAATAACATGGCAGGGGCAAAGAGACCGAATCGGAAATTGACGGAGAAGAGAAAACAAGAGTGACCGAGCAAAACGGTGCAAGTCTTACTGGACCCCCTAAATTTACAGGGGTGCCTAATCTCAGAAAAGCCAATTCTTGCATAATACTGCCGTAAATTGTGCATGGAGAGGGTGTGGCTCACGTGATCTGAGGTTCATGGGCAACATGGCAACCGATAAGTGCCACTGTTGTTGTTGCACTTGCTTAAATGTTTTTTTATTTAACAGCTTTCCAATAAGAGGGGCCAGTTGTCCCCCTTGTATTCCTAGGCCAATCTGCATTTCTCATTTCTGAACAGGCTACACTTAAAAAAAAAAAAAAAGTGAAGTTGAATTCTCAAAACCACAAGCCAAAACGTTACAGATTTAAGCAAGCTGTCTCTAGATAGAAACATCTCTCCAAGGTCTAAAGAAGCAAATGGTGTAATCAATGTCAAATGTACAAATAGACTTTTAATTATTAAAATCTTGATCCACAAATAAACTCTACCAAATTTTGAACAAGCTAAAACAAACAAACATTTTTTTTTAATCTTAGAATATTTACATTTAAACAAAATCACTAACTCCAGAATCAATATCAAAGAGGATATGGGCAGAGTTGAGAGAAAACTAAATTTAGCTATTTCAATAGTTCAAATGTCTGTAATGCTGGGAGGAAGATAATTATACACACGTGTGTTTTCCTCTGCGGTGGCTTTCCTCTCATGAAGGCATGGGGCAGGCCGTTTTCAGCGCGACCTTCCCCGTCACTCGCCTCGTCATAGCTTTCAAACTCGCTGGAGCTCCAGCCGTTGTCGAGGGAACTGTTGCAGCCACCCTCCTCACCGAACTCGACGTCATCGTAGATCATCTCCTCTGGATCTGTATGACGTAGACGCAGATACACACAATAACAACATCCTTTCCTCACAAACAATAGCCATGAAATGCATCCTGTAAATGTAATGTCATGATGTTTTGTTTTTGCTCAGAGCAAAGTTTGTATGCGGTTTCTTTCTGATGTTAACAAACAAGAATGAAACCCTAATGCTCAAATGTAAATATTACAGCAGGATGATATTTTCATGCAACTCTAAATGAGTATTTCAAATATCAAAGTGAAAAAAAAAAGAGGACCTTAGATCGAAACTGAGCAGCGATGATGGGTCTAAAGAAACTGAAACACACAAGTTCTAAAAAAAAATAAAGAATAAATAAAAAGTCCCATACCTGTGTTGGAGTCGGAGTTGTCTCTGGGCACGTCATCATAAATCACCTCATCAGGATCTGTAGAGCAGCAGACATTTTCACAAGAACTGGTGGGTTATTCCTCATAACAGATAGCTCAGGCTGTTCACACCACAAACAGGACGTCAAGTAAGAGGGGGATCTATAAGAAAAGCTCACAAAGGCACGCTTCCTCAAAAGAACTGGGAAGGAAGTGTCTGGGAATTCAGTTGTGTCATCAGTGAGAGAGAGAGAAGAAAAAAAAAAAGATAACAGAGGCCAGAAGACGTGCAGAGTGTGGAGAGGGAAGTACAGAGAACTAAAGAGAACAGCAGTATTCCTTCTAATTAAAAAGATACAACTTGACGAAATTACATTTTGCTCTTATTATCATGCCTTACTTTCCATCCATGCAGTGTTGGCAGGATCTGACGCCCATTTAGCCAAAGCATCCTCCTCTCTTATTGGTGGATATTCCTCACTGAAAACACTTGAGAAACATGTAAACATACATTATTTCTCCTTGTCTACTCAATGTCAGACAGGTTAAATAAATATTTTTTTGTATCACCACTGACATTAGGGACCCTGGTGTTTAGAATATATAATTGCAAGGGTCAGTAACTGTAACTGCAACTCTGAGTGGGAAGTAATGAAGCATATTTGCAAAAATTATACAGCACTAAATATATAAGATGTTTAAAAAATGTTCAAACTGTGAAATAAGACACATACCTGTCCACAGAGGTGTTGCCAGTCCCAACAACAGTGACTGAAGGAGGAAGGAGAGGACACATTACACAAAGAAAACCTTCAACGTTATCAATGTTCTTGATTGTTTTAGGTCGTGCAGGTCCATAGATTCAAGTGCAGAATAAGCTGCAATGCAGGGGACGTTTTGGGCAAAAGCTTGTGTTCAGTGAAAATGTAGGATTGTACAAATATATCGTTAACAGTATTTTCTAAAATAAAATGAACAAATAAGATATTCCTTACAGAAATCAGCACTGTGACTGTGAAGCACATTTAAAGATTATAAACTGTCCTGTAATTAGTTTTTTATGCCACCAGATGTCGCTAATGATACCGTGCTGGATGGATACTAAATCTCTTGAGGAACTTGTGAATCAGCTGAGATGATGTTTTCCTTTAAATGTGCATCCATTATTTTCACTTTGGTCATGTACTTTATTTACAATTCTTGATTAATTAACTCTTTTTTTTGCAACATTTGAAAAATCAATACCTATATGGAGGATGTTATTGCAATGTTTAATTTGACCGAAAGAAAAACAACACTGCAAATAAAATAGAGAGTATTCTACATCGCTGCAAACAATGAACTTTTGAAAATTCTCTTCCCAAAAAATCTATGTCAATGCAGTAAGCCCATGGTAAGATAATTACAGTGTAATGAGAGTCCTCAGTGTGCCAGGCCTCAGGCTTGGACTCGACTACTGCTAGATTTTAGGGAAACCGGAAAATCCTCACAGCCAACACAGATCTTTGGGGAAGGCTAAATTTAGTCCCTACTTCCTTGTGGCAAAGTTTTAGGAAAAAGAAGAAATGACAGAGGATAGAAACAGCTGAAACAACATTTACGTGTCACAGCCTGCTATCTCTATCTTTGAGTGTAGAGACAAAGTAGAGGAAGAATTTCCCTCAAAATAATGCAAACAATGATCCTGTATGTCCAGATCACTCCATACAATATTTTTTCTTAAAATGACCTTGTACATCAGCCAATCCAGTTCATTATCATTGTTACTTTTTTGAATCCTTAAAAACAAAAAACATGTATTGAGAATTCCCACGACTGCAGGCTCTACTCTACCATCCTCATCCACGGAGAGGTGCCGAATGATGACGGGTGTGGTGTAAGTTGGTGTGATGAGTGGTACACCCGAGGGGGTTGCATAGCCACAGGGAACCGGCACTGAGTATCCGGAAGTGATGCCACCAGGGCTGGAGTGGATATCCTGAGCTTCTCCTGCTCCTTCCTTCAGCTCTACTGGTGTGGAAGGGGAAGAGGAGGGTCCATGGTGCTGCTCCAGCTGCTGCAGTTGGAAAGGGGTAATGTCAATCACAGAGTAAGGATTGACTTTGCCCTGAGAGGAGCTCCTGGGTACTGGCGGAAGAGTGCTAGGGTCATTGATGGAAACATCCTGGCCTTCTCTGACTGGGGAGACAGACAAAGAAACATTAAAGATAAATCACAACAATGGAAAAATGCAACATTGGGCTGAAATGAGTCAGATTATAAAATACATGATCAATTTACTAGAAATGACACAATTATAAATTTAGATTATTAACGACCTACAGAGATTAAGTGTTAAAGAGTCATGTTGTTAACGTGAACTTATTATTTATGGTTTGATCCAACAGTGTTGGCATCATCATCACTTTAACAGAGGTCAAAATGAATTGTGTTCTACATGATCAAAAGTTCATGCTGTCAGACTTTCATGCACTACAACCTTTCATATACTGTAAAGTTAAAGTAAATAAAATGCATATGCCTTATGGAGCATTTGTGAACCACATTTGCTCTACTATAACAGGCTTGTTTCATGTACCACAGACTGGTCTCCTCACATTGTCCAGTTCAAAAAGTCCTGTTATGAGTTAGAAATCCTTCCCCTTACTTCCAGCTTTGTTACAATCCATTTAAGTTATAATTCTTCAGTGTGAGTACACTCTTCCATGCATTGGAGGAGCATTTTAAGCAGCATGCCTTGATGGCACATTGTAAGTTTATGGTAAATGATCAAACTTTCTGTAGAGAGGAGAGCTAAATAAGCGGTAATGATTAGGGAAAATGTTTGCAGCTGATGTAGTTTCTCCAGGTTTCTTGGATGATCGAACGACTTCAGTGTGTTAACGCATGCATGATGTACAGGAAAAAAAAATCTATAAAATCTATATATATACATCTTTTCATTCCAGTGAGTGAGTGAGTGAGTGAGTGAGTGAGAAGAAGAGCCTGACGCTGCCTGCTGCTGCTGCTGTCACAGCTTTCAGTGATAAAAAGCAGACATCCTCCAGCACCAGGCAGCCAGAGATACAAGGTGTCATGAGAAAGACAGACTGCCCCACTTTACTGCTTCACTTCAGACTGATCTGAAGGGCCTGGATTACAGCCAGATAATGCACACAAACATGACAGGAGAATGCGGAGCATTTTGATTACTGATAGAAAATATCAAACATTTTTAACCATTATTCAAGCTAAACTCCCCCCCCACCCCCCTAAATGATTAATCACTCACTTCTGGGGCAGCAATAAATAAACTTCTGGGTTTCAAACCTGTTTCTCCAGGATCTGTCTCTGTGTCATCATCATTAAGGGGAGGAGGTGGAGGAAGTGGTAAGTCTGCGTCTATGTTATCAATTCCCTCAGGAGCAGATGTCCCCTCTCCTTCTGCTGTTGCTCCACCTGTTGAGAGGGATCTGCCTGTGGCTGCTGCTGTGTCTACTGATGGAGCTGTGTCACATGTTGTTGAAGGTGCTGGGGGTTCCAGGCTGGGAATAGGGCCTTCAGGGTGACTGGCCACCATGTTGTCCTGGCTCTGTTCCTTTCGGCTGGGGGCTAGAGGAGGTGGAGGTGCAGGGGGCAGGCTGTCAGCCTCAGGAATGTCATCACCACTGTCATCAAAGTCAAAGGCTTCCCCCTCATCTTCATCAGCAAATGGGACGCTGTCCGCCAACACTGGAAAGTGAGAAAAGGTTTAGAGATAGAGGACATAGAGTGAGTGGATGTGTAACAGATCAATCTGATGTTCTCTTGAACATCAGATTAAAGAGGTAGGAGTTTTGAAGATGTATATCTGGATGTATTACAGTGTTTCCCCTAGGTTTACAGCTTTGTGGGGGTGGGGTGGGGGCACGCCGACACAAACACTTGAAGGAATCTTGGTGTTCATGTGTTACTTTCAATGACAGCTGTCCTTTTCTATCGGAAAGGTATCCTTAAATGACTTCTTTCCCTGATTTCAGACTCTATCCACTATCCTATCTCTACAATAAAGGCACAAAAAGCCCAAAAATAAATCTTTAAAAAAAAAAAAAACACTTTTTTTTTAACTTGTCCTTCAAGGGGGGCGGGGGGCCTAATATAATGGTAGGGGAAACACTGTATTAGGATATAGGAAGAAATAATAATAAATATCACGTTCAAGTTGCATATCGCAACATGGACGCCTCCAGGAGTACCTTTGTTTTGTTACCAATACATGGCAATAACAACACACTACATGATAGTTTGTGCACAAAATATAACATGATAACATGTCCACAGATAGAACTTTGTACAATGCTATCGGTGTGGTTGATTTAATTACACAAAAAGACTAACCTACTAATAAACACAATAGTTACAGCTTAAACGTTTCTGTTGATGCACGTTTCAGCCATGTTGGATTTTAACTCGGCTACGGAAGGTTCTCCAAGTTTCCAAGTCAAAATTTCCGACTTCTGAGATCAAATGGAATGCAGCATCAGGTGTCGAATCCTCTTCAGGGGTCTTTGAGTCAAAAACTGTGTGCTGTAATACTTAGGCAAAGACTAAGAGGATGTTATAAATGAATCCTCCAGTTACAATATCTAGTGTTATGAATGAGAACCTTCAGGAAAACAACTCATGAGACAATATCTAAACCTCTGAAACATTCTGCACCATTTGTCTGCAGCAACAGTCAGGTGGGTTTATCCTTTGAATTAAAGGATCTTACAAATTAGCCCAGACTTAAACAATATATGACCATGGCATGACAGGGAAGAGCATCATACAACACTGTGTGCTTTTGAGGTTTCAGTAAAACACATGTCACACTTATTACGATTTAACTCCAACATTACATTATTTAAGTCAGAGCCTTCTTTAGAAAACGTTTACAGAGACCCTGTGGGTGGTAGTTTTAGTCCTTGGGCTGTCTAGGTTAAAGAACTGAGCCACAGAGAGCCTTATAATTAAGGGTGGGGTCTACTACAGTTCAGTATGTTTTCTTAAAGAATTTAATACATCAAGGATCTGCTCCAAAACAGCACATCAGCTGCACCAACACCAACTAGGCCAGAGCTACAAGCTATAGTTAGCATTCAAAGGCATCACGTTCACATTAGAGAAGTCACTTGGCAGCAGACAGGAAGGGAACAACAAACGTCTTTCCACTTTCCACACTGCAATTACACCGGCAGGAAAGAAAACTGTCACTCCCTCTGTGAAATGCAGCAGGAGTTTTTGAATGATTTCTTATCTGATGAAATACAGTGTGGGTGGACCTGAGTCAGTGACACTCAGTTAAGTGCCAGAGTATGTAAAAAGATTCAGAATGCATGGGCTCAACTTTCATTAGCTGATTTCAGGTTTAAACTTTTAATGTTGGAGAAGTAATTCAATTCAATCTGACTCCAGTGTTGTGTAAAATATTGAGAAATCATGGATTTGCAAATGCATAAACTGAGCCAAAACCACTGAGATTTCTATGCGAGCATACCACAGATTCTTTGTGAGCACCTTCATCAGTCACAGCTTGATTTTAATAACTGACAGTCTAAAGTGCTACTCTCATATCCTGACTGTGCTCCCAATGAAAACAGCAAATTCCAGGTTTGCAAGAGGTCATTTTCAGCATGAGTTGATGAGATAAGCCCTACTGTGTCACTTGCCGAAATAGCTCAGTTGGGAGAGCGTTAGACTGAAGATCTAAAGGTCCCTGGTTCGATCCCGGGTTACGGCATTTTGATCTCACCCTTCCCCCAGCTGTCTGTGTACACTTTTTCCTTTTAACACCTATTAAGATCCTTAATGCTTTTCAAACATTTCCAACATTGTTCCTGCTGAACTCTGTCAACTTTGGCATTTATGTGGCCATTTAGAGTTTAGCTAATAAGGTTATTCTGTACACACTATTACCATGAAAAGACCCAGGATCACTGTTGTTGAAACATGCTGTATTGCACCTCGAGGCTTGAACCCTCCACGATAGTGACCAAGTAAATCTCAACTTAAAGAAACTCCCTAAAACCAACCCAAAAACTTTGAAGTCCCTCACAGCAACGTACACAGCTCTAAATCAGCAGCCGACTCCCCTCAGGCTTTGACAAGTAGTCGTTTCAACCTGTAGTCAGTGTGAGGGAATGGTCTGTGACTAATGTTCCAGGTCAACACTTTGACCCAAAGTCCATCTGCACCTCTGCCTAACATTGTTGCAGATCAGAGGTGCAAAAAGCAAACCTGGAATCAGAGATGCTATCTGTCTTTTTTCCATCTGTAAAATAATGAATGGTTTGGGACACAGAGATAAGGCACAGGCTAATAGTCAGCGGCTCTCCAGGACTTTGGCATGAATATTCATCGCCTATAATTGTCTCAATATGTCGACTAATCCTCTCTCTGTAGGGCAATGTGAAACTCTGGACTGTGCCAGAATAGAACAGGGCATGATTTGATTGGATTTGGCCAGATGACGAGTCACAACTGGCCATTCAATAGTACATCTGCAACTGTGTGTGGAGGACATTGATAGATCGCTGAACTGGTATGCATGCCCGAAGCTTAATTATAGGGACTGTGCTGGATGTTGACCTTACTTCAAAGTGCGAGCACAAATCTGTATTCACACTAGCCTTGCATGACATGGGAAAAATATGTGACGTGTCATAACATTGCTCACTATTACAATAACAAAAAATAATGTTAAGAGTGAATATTAGCCACAACTCACAGTTTGTGTCTATCTGCTGTTCTTCCTGTTTTAAACAGCACCTGTGTTGGCAACATGTTTTGCCTGAATCCAAAATAAATCTCAAAAGTGTTTTTTCACCACTAAATAGGCATCAATGAATCTGATTTCATCCCAAAGGTGTGAAAGCATGGCTGATAGCCCCAAGCCTCAATCCAAAAGATAAAATGTACACAAGCTAATTAAATGCTTGTCTACAAAAAAATTGTATCTCTTAAGAATTTCAATAAATTCAGACTTTTGTGATGTGTTTATTATGAATGCTCTTATAGCCATAGGGATGAAATTAATTGCAATGAATTCACACTTCCCATTTAATAACCAGTTCCTCTGGCCCTTATTTATTTTTTTATTTACATTCAAACCAGAGATAATGAAGGGTCTTCACTTTTTTAAAGATTTTGCTAATCTTTTTCTCTTCATGGGAATGTAAAGAAGAAGATCAGTGAAACTGTACATACAGTAAGAGAGTGTGCACACACTTATGCAAGATGACACACAAACCCCTGCTGAGGTGTCCATTGTCAATTCATAATCACAATATGGATATTGTTCTGTGGGCCTATCTCCACTCTGCTATATAATGGTCTGCTCAAATGAGTCACCGGGGTTACAATCCCCTCCAGCATCACCCTGGCAACAAAGCAAGTGACTGGCCAGCTGGAGATGAAGCATTTTTCTGGCCTGTGTCTATCCCCGGAGGCAGTGTGTGTCGGTTAGTGTGTGTTATGTGTGTGTGTGCTGCTGCCGGGTATTCAGCATAATACTGAGGCACATTGTCTGGTATTCACAGCAGCGCAGCACATTTTAGCCTCCTTACTCCCTCGTTCTGCTGCCCACACACTCCCCAGCAGGGCAGGAGAAGAGGAGAGGAATCCGTGTTGTTTACTCGCACTGTCCAGCTTCAGCAGCCCTCCAGGAAGTGAACTGACCACGACATGACCTACAGGAGCTAGAAAGTTGAAACTCAATCCTGTAATCTATCTCTCTAGAAGCAGATAGGCAAAGACATGAAAAGAGAAATCTATCCATGTAATGTTTTTCTGAAATTCAGCTCAATAATCTTTCAGATTCTCTTTATCAGTCCACAGTACATGTTCTGAGAATCAACTGTGACATGTTGAGTTTAAACATGGAAATTAATTTAAAAATTGGTTATTCTAACAATTTTTCTAAGATTTATTTTTGGGCTTTTGTGCCTTTATTGTAGACCTAGGATAGTGGATAGAGTCAGAGATTGGGGAAAGAAGTCATTTAAGGATACCTTTCTGATAGAGAAGGACAGCTGTTATTAAAAGTAACGCATGAACACCAAGATTCCTTCAAGTGTTTGTGTTGGCGTGTCTGCGTGTGCCCCCCCCCCCCAAAGCTGTAAACCTAGGGGAAACACTGATATATGTTCAATAAAACTTTAAAAAACCCTGAAAAAGGTATTTCACTTTTTCTCAGTCTGACTTTGTATCTTCAAATTTCCTTGTTAACCAACAACAACTTGACTTATCCAAATCCCCAAAAACTATTCATCCTACAATCATATAAGACTATGGAAAGCAGCATGTCAATCAAATTCTGCAGTTTTGCTTGGAAACTACAAGATTGACTGATAAGCAAGATTTGTCAAGAACAACTATTGGTCATAAAGTTGGTGTGAGACAAAGGTTATAAATAGATGGTCAATGACTGCCCTTTACACAAGAAAGACCTACAACTAGTATTTACCTCAACCTCAGTTTAAAAGGTAGTGGCCCGTACGGGGATCGAACCCGCGACCTTGGCGTTATTAGCACCACGCTCTAACCAACTGAGCTAACCGGCCCATGCACCACAGAGGTATCCTATCATTTGTCGAAGATGGTCTGTACGGTTGTGCCAAAGGGAATAACATGTGTGAGTGAAAAAGCTCTGTTTACTTTCAGGAGGTGGGGGAGGAAAGTCTTCCACGTCCATGCTTGTTGCTCTTCTTCTGCCCAAGCTCTTCAGACAGCAGCATGAAGAAGATCATCTACGCCGACACACATTCCTAGAGGAAAAAGACATACTTCATTGAACTGAAAAATAGGAGAGTTAAACACACATTACAATTATAATACACATAGTATTTCCTAATTATATTGAAAACTAAGAATGTTCCCATACATCATAATTTGAGCACTACTGGTTGGGCAAATATGAGCCAGTCAATGCCTGAAAGCTAAGCCCAGCCATCCTTGTTCTTCAATGTTGCTTCTTTATCACAGCAGCACTTTGTCAGCATAGGAGCATGGCTGTGTTGTGGTCACAGTCTGGTACCTTTTGTGTCAACAACAGAGTCTGAACCAAAGCTAATTCAGACAAATGAATGAGTGACTGGAGACAAAAGAAGCTCTTGTAGTGCTTCTTGGGACTGTTGATACAACCACGTGTTTTAAGTGTACACAACATTCTCATGCTAATTGCAGACTCGTGCTAAACGTGCTTGGTCACCATATCATTGATAGGTCATACCCTGTGGAGTTACCACAGGAAGAATGGTGGGGGGTTACAGCCTAAACCAAATTCTTCAACGCAGGTCCAGATTCACATTGTCACCTCTTGTTTCCTGAAACAATTCAGGTTTAATAGAATTTAATGGCAGTCAAAAGTATCAATGCATCTCTTAATCTTATCAGTACAAACCCGTGTTGCTAAACCTTGGCGTATTTAGCAACACGTTCTAACCAACTGAGCTAACCGGCCGGTTCACAACAGCCTTATTAAAAATAGCTTTATTAACTCCAACAAAGAGTGATACTAGCAGACATTCTAAATGATATGCAATCAAATGTAGAAGTGGCAACTCAAAAAGATCTAGAGGCAACCACTTGTTCTATGATATGATACCATGCGATAACATACAACACACTTAATTGTCCCCTCGGGGTTTGAGTGGAGTCACGGATTCCAGTGCTGCACACACTGAGCTGCCTCTACAGTAAAATTCTACCACTGTTAAAGCAAATTTGACATCATGCTTGATTATTAAGACAATTACATTACACCCCAGGCTTGAAAAAAAATATTTGAATCTAAATCAAAACCCCAGAACATTTCCATGTCTGTAGATTTCCTAAGATTGCAAATAGGCTATACGCTTAACATGGCTTGAAACAGTGGCAGCCACAGTACAAGTATTTGGGATACAGGGGTCAGTGTGATGTTTTGACTTAATATCAACCACACATTTTGGTTCAGGTTAATGTCATTAGCATGCTCAGGCAGGAGAGACCTTTGGACTTGCACGGTCATGAGAAACGTTGCATTCCTCAGCAGCACAGCCTTTGTTTGCAGATGTACAATTGATATCCAGAGGTGACAGTTTCTGTCAAGGCCCCCTCCAGAATTAAAGTACATTTTTTCCCAGACTTCCTCCACTTGCTAGTATACACTAGGGTCGATAGCCGAGTAATGACATCATGCTGTCACATAAAGCCACCATTGTTGTGGTATGTAGAGCCCATATTATACTCATGCAATTTATGAGGTTCAATACAAGCCACACAACACTCTTCTTCAGACTACTTCAAACCTTCATCTCACCAAACAAGATCCAAAAGATAACTCATTCTGAATCTCAAAGCTTGTTTTGTCTACAAATAATGTGAAATCCTCTGCTTCTTTGTCCTCACGAGCACAAGGCCAGAGCAGTTAATGGGAACACACAGGCCCAGTGTCTGCAAATACGGGTGACAGTTACTTCTAATGCTAGCAGGCAGATATACTTAAAATACAAAGCCTGAAAAAAAAAATAGGCGAATCCAAAGAGACGGGCAATGTTTACTATGAGAGCTGGCAATGAGGCCATGCATAATCTGAGAAATGGAAGTTTGAATAAACAGGTAGTGACCTGACACACATGGTAGCGAATTGACTGGCACATTTTGGATTGATAACTAACAGCCCAGCCCTGACAGGAGCCTTGAGGGGTGACTCATATCTGCCTTCAGATGCATTGTTTGATTTCTAGGACAAGCAGGAAAAGGAAGGAAGGGAGGGGAGAAGAAGGAAAATATTCAGGTGTGCTCATCCCTGGGCACAGGCACAGAAGGCAGATATCCTACTGTCAGGTTCTCTCCTTTATTTTACATTTGTAAAACACATGAAGATAGCGGATATGTTAAACGTTACTATCTTCTAAAAGAGCCGGCCTGTCTGAACCAGTCTGTATATTTCTCTATCCTGTCCCTATCCTTTAATGACTCTGTTTCTTTGCTTATTTTTTTTTTTACCTGCTTCTTGAAGAAAACTAAATGCACCTTTCCACAAATTACATGCTGCAAGCCCTGTGGTGTGAAGTGACTTCAAATGTGGTGTGCCCCACAGTAGCACCTGGCATATCCCATGAAGAAAAACAGCTCAACAGAATCATTCAGCACATCTGCAGCATCAGTCAGTGGCCTGTCTACACTGAAACATTGTCAACACTAACACCTTTAAACTGTGCAACATAAGCAGAAACACAAGTAGGTGAAGCTAACTAACCCTAATGTAAATTAACTATTGACCATAATTCACTTATTTCTGCTTTGCTTACCTGTTCAGTGTTTAATCACAAGGTTCAGTAATGCCGTCTAATCTGAGAGCAATGATTGAGGAGAAACCAGGAGACAGCAGGCAGGGAAATTCAGCCGTATAGTTGATGACAGACTCAGGTGAGCATGTCATTACATGCTGTGGAAGGCTGAGCCGCTCTCTACAGAAAGGAAAACAGTCATCTGGTCTGCGTTGAGTAATGCACACAATTTGCTCACCTGTGTGTTCCTAATAACTTATGTTAAAACAGACAATGACAAGGATCAGAATCATGTTGACATTGTATACAGTATGTTCACACATGTGGAGGATTATATGAACTACGATTACTCAGAACTACATCTTATAGCAGTTTATAGAATGGGAATTACTAAATTAAAAAGGGAATATAACTGATCCGATCTAATATCGGTACCGGGGTCCGATATTGAAGTAATTTACAAATCTGATATCGGACCGACGGCGGTCAGAAATCAAGCAATGATGGAACTTGCTTACAGGCAAAGCAGAGATAACAGGAATAAATATTTAAAAACGTTTTCTAGTACTTTTAAATGAGATTTCTTGTGATTTGTCTTCCTTGTTTTCAATGTTTCCTGATCTGCCCCAAACACTTAACCTGCCAGTTATGGAAGTGATTGTTTGTGTGTGTAGCTGAGGGGTTTTCTAAATCAAACACCCTGTATCATAAGATTGTTTTGATTTTATTCCTGATTTTCTGGAGTACACTTAACTACAAGTGGCATTCCACACACAGACTGAAAGTCATAAACAAAAGCCTGGATGAGAAGGGAGGGTGGTATGAGAGAGATAGAGAGAGAGAGGGGGGGGGAGAGAGACAGAGAAAGACTTGCAGTCTGCTGTGAGTGTCTGTCTTTTGCTTTGCAGCTCTTGTGCTGAATGTTTTATTGAGTAGAGTGTCCCAATCTTCTCCTTCTGGCAGGATTACAGTAATGAGGCTTTGACTGAAAAACAGCACATCCCAGGCCTACAAAGAGTGGATGGACGGGCTTAAGGAACTACTGTAATGTATTTATGGGGGGGGGGAGTTCAGGGGAGGACAGATCAGCACTCTGCAGAATACTAAAAAGAAAGGAGGGTAACTCTTTCCAGCACCATCCACGTGAAAGAGTTGGAAAATAAAAACTACTGCTACAAAGATTGTGAACTGATGGTTTCTGTAGTTTAGGCGTCTGATCAGCAAAGAACAGTTTAACGTTTACATCATTATATATTGCTAATGCTAATTCCCATTCTGAATGGCATTGCAAGCATTGGCTAATGGGATTGGAGGCCTCACAAGAAACCCACTGCTCCAGAACAACATGGTGATGACAGGATGTACATCTTTTGTGCCACTTGAACAGCATGTATTTGAAATCTTTAGCTCTAAGGCTTCAACAGGATCCACCTAGAAACCTTCACAGCATCAGGGTATCTGAGTCAACGCGCCTTGACAACATGCAACATTCTCCCACCCACCCTGACCTCAAAATGGGTGGAGAAGCTCACAAACAGACACAAGATTGCGCACTTCTTAGAGACGAGAATCCTGACTCGTGGCAAGTTCAGACTGTCAGCGAAGCATTATTCATACACACTAATATCCTGATGAATCATGGTCGGTCAAGGAACTACCTCATCATTACATGTCCTTTTGTTTCTGCAGCAGCGAAACTCAATTTAAGCAATGTTTACACCTTTCCCCAATCCAGTGTAACATATACTTCCCTGAACATTCTGAACAATCAACACGACCAGAAGAGCCGAGGTTGAGTTTAGTATTCCCCATCGCAAGTTATAATTAAAGGCCTAATGGGAGTGGATGGTTGTGATTACTCTTCAATAATCAGGCCTGCAGGGCTGCAGTGTATTCTTTTATGTCAGAGGTGTGATCAGTGAGACACGTGAGGGAATGACTGGATGGAAGTTCTGCACTCATGTTTTCAAAGCAAATGTGTAAAATGCTATTATAGCTGTAACTGATACATAATCATATTACCCCATTATAGCCCGCAGCTCTTGCTATAGGAGCGTTTAGTTTATTTAACATCACAATTATAGTTGTTGTTTTCTTTAACAGGACTTAGCTTCTGTCTTTAGCAAAAAGGCAGAAACAACTGAAAAGGACCTCACAGTTCTGGAGTCATTTGACGAAATGAAAGACTGGAGCTGTAAAATATTTCAAACATGGGTGTCCATTTGAAAACAGAGGCAGCCACAGTCTTGGCTGTCACTGCTAACTGGTCTCCACCCACCCGGTTAGCCACACCAAAGCTTCAAGAGCCAAGTTGTAACCAGAGGAACACTATCTTGTGCGTAGTGAGCAGTGGATGAGCAACTGCCTCAAAGAGGTTTTGTTGACTGAATAGATTTAAGCTCTAAACTTTATTACAATAGAATGGAGCAACTCAGTGCTACTACAATAAATCAGCACAGGAAAACTACAATACTACTGACTGTATGAGAACAAGTCATTGCTCTGATTTCAAAGGGTGGAGACTCTTTATGAAGCAAAGATTGCCTCTGACTTTACCCATGCTGGCTAAGAGTCCATAAAGAGTCAACTTATGTAGCACATAAAAACACTCTATTCCGCTCTCTCTGTATTTCCTGTCTCTTTCTCTCTCGTGTCATATAAGGTCACATTTGCTACGAAATCATTTTTACAAACAGCTTAAAATGTATAGAGAAGTGTACACTGTAAAAAATGTGAATACAAATATGCTCCATGCATTTTATCTGCTTTACAAATGTTTTTTTTAACAGCAAATAAAGCCTATGGTAGAAGTGATGTTTCACACATCCACCTGCAGAAGAGCAGTTGCTTTCCTTTCCCAGCTGTTGCTGAACTATGCAACTAATCCAAGTTTTATCTCAGAGGATCCTCAGTGGAATGGTGGTGGGTGGACGGCAAATCCAAAAGTGCCATTTTAAAAATGACTGGTATGCCTCTTTGTTAAACTGCTGTTTACTCCGACCACCCGGGTTTAAATAGGAGGCGCTTTCTTTTTCATGTTGTAGACAAATTAATGTGAACACCTCTTTTTGCACTTTCCATGTCATCGTAGAGATATTACTTTGTCACAACTACTTTTGCAAGTTACCATTTCCTGTCCTGACTCCACTGAACCACATCTGTGTTTGCGGACCATTAAGAATAATACGAGAGGATGTTGCAGTTTCGCTTTACTGAATGTTGTTTGTGGCAAAGGGAATGATGAGATGCAAAAAGCATCTGCGAGTACTGATAGACTTCACGTTCCTTAAAACACCAACAGCTATACACTGAGGTGTCAGCAAAGTTAAGCAGCTATGGGTTAATGAGGAGAAAGCGTAAAACGTTGTGGATTTGACTTCTTTATGACTAGGACATGACCATTCGGAAACTCCAGGACAATTGAGCAAGGAAAAGAAGGATTTGTACTTCCTGGACAGCCTCCTAGGTGTTATTACAGTGAAACACATTAATCGTCAGTATTCACAGCAAGGCTACCCTGGTTAATTTGTTTAACAAATACACAGAGTGGATTTGTGTGTCTGCAACCCCTGCGATGTTCCATGTCTTACATGTACAGACTGAGTGAACTGGACAGGCTTGGAACCAGACAATACAAATATAATGAGCCCCCCCCCCCATACATGTTAAACCATTTTAAAACTGAGCTATAGGCTTTATAGTTTTCTTTCTTTCTATTGTTGTTTCTAGATTTCACATTTTCTATGCATGTAGGCAACTACAAAGACAAAAAGTTTGATTTAATAATGATTTTACTACCTGATCTTCCAGTTGACTGAATCTGTGCAGTGCTCTCACTGAGGAATGCTATGCATGACTACTTGAATTTGTAGTTTGGCTGACTGCTGCAGCTCAAGCAGACATCCAGTTTAATTCTTTATCTTTCATTAAGTGTTAGTCCCCCTTACAGATTCTTAAACTTTCTGTGTAGTGTGATGTATGTTAATAAAGTCATTGTTGCTATAAAAAGCACACTTGATGAACATTAAAAAGGCAAATGGATATCTTGCACCTGCAAATTGCAACCCTTGAAAAGGAAGAGGGGATTGAGTCGAATCAGGGATTTTGCTGAACACTGAAAACTAAAACCTTTGAAGATAGGAAAGAAACTTGTCCAGGGAGGCTAATGTGATAAAAACAAACAAAAAAGTTTTTGGTGACATTTATACCAAGAACAGGACGCAATAATTCAAATGAAATGTAAGAATAATGAATACTGTCGGTCTTTCTTGTAGCAAAGTGACAGTGTTGGCAACTTGGCCAAGTTATCGGAGGCGCCACGTTATAGCCCTCTCCCAACAAACACAATGTGTTATACGACAAAAATACACATAAAACATGATAATTAACAAAAGAAACATTTCGCAAGACGTATAACCAAATGTGTAGCGAAACGTCACTACTTACCTGTACTGGCAGTGAGCTAAACAGATAAAGTAAAAGGATGTTCAAAACTTTGTCAGAAACTTAAAATAAATGTCCTCGACTCACCATTGTATGACTTTCTCCAGACAAATTACGGTATTCCTTCGCTGTAACAACTTGCAAGTGTTAAAAGTTAATGCATTTTAGGCTTCAAAAAAACTTAAAATGCATCCAATTTTCGCCCAGTGTCCTTCTTTTAACTTCACTCTTTTCGATGCAAGCGTACCTCATCCATATAAAAAAAAAGAAGAAATTCGTTCCCTCCTCTATGACGCTGATTGGCTGAGAGTTCAGTTGGGCAAGTTGTGATTGGCTACGCAGAACGTCAGTCAAGTGTCCGACGTCTCCTCCTGTAGGATCGGCTCGAGTCGCCCGCAACGATTCCAACGTGCCCACGTGACGTGTGAGGTGGCTCCGGCTCCCTCTGGAACAGCTGTCCGGAGTTGATGTTGGGTTAAAGTTTTGACAAACTGTTTCGACTTTCGAGTGTCTTTGTTGGTCGTAACATTTGTGATTTCAGTAACATTTTAGTGTCATCTACAGCCAGCATCCCGAAGAGCCTTTGTTGTACAGTTGGGATGAAAATATTCAAGGTGTGTGATACCTTTGAATGTTCAACTTTTCTCTTCAAAATACTGCGAACATCTACAGGACTATCAGCAGAGATTAGACGTACACCAATGGGCCTGCAGGGGCCGCCAAATCTACACAAAATTATATTTCCCAGTCGCTTTAGGTGACATCCATTCCTTTTCCGCCACCTACAGGTAGGTTTTCCTTTGCACAATCGTATCTCTTACAGCACTGACAAATCCAAAGGACACAACTGTATTAGAGAAAACACATTTTATTTACTGAAATTAATTCATTTCCATACACAAATAGAATGTTAATCTTTTCTAAACAACAGCTATCATTTCAGCCCCTCCTCCACCCACCTGATATGGTCATATGAAAAAGAGGCAAAGTGACAACCCAAGAATATCTTTAGTTAAGTTATTTTGGCAGTAATGTACAAGTAAGGTGACATGTACAGTAAGCATTTAAAGACTCTCTTGATATTAAATCAAGAATAAACAGATGAAGAAAACTTAAAATGTCATAAATACATGTCTTAAAACTTCTTTGTGTTGCCTTAGTCACTGAGGCTGCATGATGCACCGATTACAGTGATTTACTCAACGAAACAGTGTGTTGCTTTTCTTCAGTTTTCATTGAGTTATGACACAGGTTCCAATTGTCTGGCTGTGGCTGATTAAAAAAAAAAAAACTTCCCGTTTCTGGATTTAACTCAGCAAAGTTAAACATGTGAATCAGCTCATCTGATTAAAAATCAAAAAGTCAAAACACTAAATTACACTTTAAATGTCTAAAACTGTCCCCTAATTATTGCTGTAATCTAATTTAAATACTTAATTTGGTCATTTGAGTCAACCTTCAGGATGAACTAATTATGTTGCAGTATATTGTAAAGATGCACATTGTAACTAACTTAATACTAATGGTAAAATTCTAGAGCTTATAAACATAATGACATACCGCTACGTTAGCAATGCTGTTATAGCAAAAGACTGAGAAATTTGAGAACTTAGAGCAGAGTAATAACTCAATAAAAACATTGTGTGTCTGATACATGACAGCAGCCAAGCCAAATAAACAATCTCAAGCTTTCCAGTACAATGAGGTTATTGTGTAAAACAAACAAAACAATTAATGTGACCGATGTATAAATCATCATGTATCTAAAACTGAAAGAAAAGAAAAACAAAAACTAAAGCTTTATTTGAAACATAACACCCAACAATAGTCATGATCAACATGCTGCTTGGCTATTTTGAATCAAGGCAGCTTTATTTTTGCAACATGACATCTCCATTTTTAACAAAAGAGCCTTTGTAGAGTGGACCGATCCTGAGCTTTGTCCACTAACAAAGAAGATTCTGTTTCGGGGCCTTTCCTGTCATGACAACGGTGAATACTTCCCTCTCTGTTCAAAGAAGATACACAGTCAAAAACAACCAATGTGACTCCTTTTGAAGAGACTGATCTAATTGTCCACTTTCCTGATGAAATAGCTTTAATATTCGACCTTAAGGACCCAATTTCTTCAACCTAAACTACTTGACCTGCATACGCTTCCCAATCCGTGCTGAAGAACCGTGTCTGGTGTAAAAGCAGGAATGGAGCCGTGTATGATCAACATCAAATTATTCATGAGAATTGTGTGTTGATTTGTGCGATGTCAAGATGTTATTGTAAAAAAAAAGCTACTAACACATACAAAGCTTTTTTATCTGAAAAATCTGGAGGATATTTAATGCAAATAGAAAAAAAGCTGTGGTTGTACACAGACTTACTCTATTTGGAGTTATACCTCCTCAAGCCATAAAGGATGAAAACCTAAGATTTCCAAAGTTATTTAACTACTACATGTTTCCTTTTATTTGATACAAACTCATAGAAATTAAATGTGTGTATCAGGAAAACTGGCATATACAGATAATTTGTAAGAGTTTGCTTCTGAATGGCTTTTCAAGAATTGCTGTGTATTTCACCTTGGTGAAAATAGGTCAGCTATGATGTGACTGGCAAGGTGGCTCTGTCACAACAGTGTCCTGAAGGTAATGGAAAACAAGAAAGACCCCCATTCCACTGCTCTACACTACCACACCTACCTTTGAAAGGCTGAGCTAACTAGGTAAATAATTTATTAACTTTCACCAAAAAAAAAATGAATGAATCTATCAAAATGAATACTTTGTGCGAAACTTGATCAATATAGTACCAGACTGTCATGGTTAACTTTTAAAGGCTTTTTTTTTTTTTTTGAAAACAACATATGTCCCTTGTAACACTTACGGTTCCGTTGTATAAAAACATACAAAACAAGGACAATACGACTGTCACAACTCTCAAAGTCACATCGCTCTTTCATGTATTAATTATAAAGAGAAAGAAATGTGGCATTTTTCCGATGTGAAATGACCTCATCGATTCACCTCAGCTGTTGTGGGGCTTGACAGAAACCCCCGACTGAGCCTTGATGGAGCCGTTTACAGCTGTGGACTTGTTGCCAAAGTTCCAGTCCACAGGATTCAGAAGCTGCATGGTCTTCTTGTGTGTCCAGATTGGGTTGATGATAAACGTGAGCAGGGCGAGGCCAGTGAAGAAGACTAGAAGTTGTGGTAAGGCCACATGATTGGTGAGATCTCTCCAGTGGGTCACTGCTACCCACCACATGTAGTAGGTGAGCACCATGCGACAGTGGAACGTGTGGATCATCACCCATTGGTTGGCTTTCCAAAACAGGGTGTGGGCCCAACCAGCCTGTCAGGAGGGAAGAAAGATTGTGAGAGAAAATGATGCAGAGTTTTGGTCAGAAATGTATTTTCAATAGTATTACCATTGTGAATTTTTTGTACCTATTAAGGAATCAAGTCATATCTGTGTGTAACAGGAACAGAGAAAGTTCAGAGACCTGCTCAGCCTTATTTTTATACAACTTCCTCTTTCTAAGATAGATGAAGCGTATCTGTTTACGATCATAAGATATAAAAATACCGAAGAGGAAGTGTAATTTAGAGTTATTTACATTTTTTCAGCAGTAACTAACCAGATTCTGTTAGAAATACTGAATTAATCAGCCGCATCAGATAAAACTAGACCATCTGGAATTGGATAAACTAAATAAGCAAACAAAACAAAATGTTAGTTACAACAATTTCTTCTCTGATGTGATGAAGGATTGGTGTAAGTAATGACAGTTAGTTTTACACCATGTAAACGCTGTAAGGCTCATACCTTCAGTAACATCCAAGACACACATGTGAAAGGTGTGCTCATCTCCAGCAGCAGCGTGACCATTGGAAGAAAGTGTCCCAGGGAATCATACACCACCGCCCCTGCATATCCTGACAGGGCAAAGAAATGGTGCGTCGCCAGTGGGAGGTCAAATGACCGAAATACCACACTGGAGGTGTGAAGAGCTACGTTCTCAAAAACAAAGAAACCTGTAGCTGTGAGGACATTGAACCACGACCAGTCTTCTTGTCCCCTCACCCTGTCTCTGAACAACATTGAGTCCTGGGTCAGAGCCCGGAGTCCCGCTATAGTACTCTGGATGCCAAATACTGCCCGAGTCGCAGCGAGGTTCCAGAAAACCTGCTCCTTAGCTAGCAGGGAGTTGTAGGTGCAGGACACAGCCGAAGACAGGAGGTGGGAAAGAAGGAATATTGCAACATAGAAGGCAAAGCCCAGGCCTATAAACTGGAGGCGATAGTCCCATGCGAAGTATTCTTCACTTGGCTGGAGCAGAGTGTTGCTCTGCTGGCCAGGATCCATGGTGTTAATGGAGGATCCTGGAGGATCCTGGAGCTCAGGCGAAAGGGAGGCTCAGCTGTATGTGGGGCTGTAAGCAGGGGCTGGAGGATGCATGGTGTGTGGGTCACTCACCACCTGTGAAACATAAGAAAGCAGCTAAAGAAACACAGACACTTTATCCACTTAACACAAATAACACACATGCCTCACTTTAAACAAACTACATTTTATGCAGGCTTTATACAATTTCAATGTTTAACCAAAAGTCCACTTATTTGTTTCGTGTGTCGCTTTAATGGACCCAAGTCTGGAACTAAAACGTAAAAGAAGGAATGTTCCCTGTTGTTCTTAACTCAGTATAAACAACACAATGTATCCAAAAGAGAACAAAGACGTATTTATGTCCAACTATTACAACATATTCCTTTAAAAAACATGTCGGGTCAGGGTCTGGTTCCAACCAAAGTCAGCACAAATAAACAGCGACGACAAAAGCTGGGCCCGAATCAAGCAAAGAAAGGGACTACAAAAAACGTCCAAAGTAGTTTAATTGACTCCCCACAAACTAAATATCATTAATGTCATACATACCAATGCTGAACACGGTGTTCCGACGTTGTAACTGCAAGTTACCGGAGGGAAATGCACATCATCCGACTTCAATTTGGTCATATGATATAAAAACAGGAAGTTACGCCTACTTCAAGCTTCCGGACCTCCTATTGGTCAATGCCGCTCTGATCTGCAGAAGCATCCTATTCTATTGGTTATTTGCTAGATAGCGTTTAGTGTGTGTTGACTCCTCCTGACAGAGGTAAATATAGGCTAACATAGGGTTACAAACGTACACAAGACAAGTGACAAACATTTGTTTATTATAAGTCTTGCCTTGTCTGTAGACCCAGCTCGTAGGCGATATGTTGAATTAGAAGTTTTGCCTGAAGGGACTAAGGAAAAAATACGGGTGTATGTTTGACATGAGTAGTATTTTATTCACGTAGTTTACATATGTTTTATAGGCTACTTCCTAACAATGTCAAATGAAATTGTCCTCTTATTTTCATGGGGGAGGAGGTATAAAAAAATATATTTTTTAAAGTAGCACAGTTTTGTATGGAAGCCCATTTCCGCCAGTTAAAAAAATAAAAATAAAAATAATAAAAAGTCAAAATAATGAGATATAAAGTCATAATAATGAGATAAGTCAAAATAATGAGATAAAAAGTCAAAGTCAGTCAGTTGAAATTATGAGACTTTATTATTTTCATTTTTATTTTTTTTACTGGCGGAAATGGGCTTCCATATTTTGCTTCCCCCCTACACCTAATATTTGTGAACACTGTGGAAATGTGAGAATATTTGTTCACTGTTTCCAATTTTGCAAAAACCTGGACTTAATTTACAACCATTATGAGCAAGGTTTCTGTAGATGGTTCCGCTTTCACTTGCATGCACCGAGCAAGAAGAAAGGCAGGTCGCCAAAGTTTTATACATTTTAGTGTGTTAATTTGATTAATTTGATGTGTTGACAAGAACATCTGCAGGTAGGAAAATTAAAGGTAAAGACACATACACACACATACTAAGAAGCTAGGTGAATCCCGGCTGTCTTGCTGTGATGTGACAGTGCTTTGTTTTAGCTCGATGCACATTCTTTGCTGGACAACCCCTCCACACATCTTCTGGGGAAAATTGTGGCTTGAAGAAGATCTTACAATGGTGAGAGTAGCCTACCGAGATGTTCTTCAGCCAGTTATCAGAGGAATAGACATTTACCTGTAATGTTAATGTGATGTAATTTACCCTGTAAAGTCTTGTATTTTTTTACTTTATTAGTAAAATATCAAAGGAAAAGATAAATAGTAAAAAGTCCTCAAGAAGTGAAAAGAAAGAAAGTGAAAAGCTTTTTTAATGCACGTCTCTGAGATAAATGATGTGATAATAATCCCAGCAATAACTTTCATTACATTCAAATTAAATCAGTTTTTATTTTTGGTAAATAAAAAAATATATATTCTGAGAAATCTAACATCTGTAAGCCTTATAGAGCAGGCTCTGAATTACATTCTTTGTCCAGCAGAGGGCGATATTTGCATGTATATTTGACAGAGAGGGTCATACACAGCTCTCCAAAGTCTGACATGGAAATGACTTGCATTAGGCCTGACACTAATTAACAAACACTGTGAGTTTTAATCCCTTCACTGTATCTTCATTAACATTAAAAAACTATTTTTTCTTATTTTAAGGATGTTTTACACATTTTAAAGTTTATTAGCGTCAAAGATGATGGTAAGGTCATTGATATGTGACTGATGGTTTTTGGAGAATCTATAAAAAAAACATAATCATAAATGTTAACCTGATGTTTATTTGTTTATGTAATGATTTAGTATGAAAGCAGGGTGGAGTCAACGGTCAAATGTCCTCACTTATGACAGGTTTAGTGCAAGGCATAAGCACCATTCTCTTTGATGATTCAGAGATACCTTTTAGTTTATCTCAATGCTATTTTGATAAGCCGCCTTATTACAGATAGATAACATATGAAATGTCAAGAACAGCTGGATATATTCATTAATGTTTTCTCCTATGAGCTTCAATCCTACCACCTGGAATACTGAATAACTATAGTTTAGTGTTTGAAAGTAAGCAACAAAGTCTTTATGGTATTTCAATGACATTCATAACATATTCAAATATTTCTATTTTGCTGTAATCTACGCTGAATTGACATATTTAGTTTGGAATTAGATTTTTCAGAGTAAACAGGCACCACACGGACAATTTCTAAACTTTTTCTCCAAAAAATTTAATTGCAGAATTATTTACACTGGATGACCGTATAGCAATGAATAAACTACTCAAAGAGGCAAAATCTCAGTGGCTCAGCTACTAAAATGCATATGGTTTTGCTAACAACTGAAATAATACAAAAATAAACCTGATGTAACAGTAACTTACAGTGAAATAACACACTGAAAAATGCATGTGTGATTGAAAAAAAAAAAAGATCTGTGGGACAGTGCCATGATTTTTCAAAGAAAGAATTAATAAATAAGCCTACATTCAGAATCAGTATTTCGCATGCCATCATATCAGCTTATAAAACAACCATTACAAAATAAAAAGACAACAAAACATTAACAAATGCAGAAAATAGTAATGTTTCAATGAGGCATATATTATATATTTATATGTCTATATATATTTCTTTACAAATAATGAATATTTGGCATTATATTCATCCTCACTATAGATATGATATACAAGAGATGAAAATAGTCTTAGCTAAACAACTACCTTTTTCATTGTATCTAGTAATTATAGAGTGGTTTCACATTCCAAGTTCAAGGAAGTGTATCCGTTTGTTTCAGGGAGCCTGATGCTCCTTCCAGGGCATGGATATGAAAAAGTTCCCTTGAAATATTTCACATAATGGGTTGTATACTAAAGCAGATAGACAGTAGTACCAGAAGAGAGGCCACTGATGTCGTAATATGAGCTTAAATGACAAGAATGTGATCAGAAATGGGAACATGTAGGCAATGGCAAGCCTGTTTCACTTATACAAACCTGATGTGGGATATGTGGCCACGCAGAATATTGATTTTACAGTATATTGGATAAGTTGAAAATTGATGGCACTTGTAGTTATTTGCTGCCCTCTTGACATTAAATGTGACACCGGGGGAGTCTTCTGCAACATGGGGTTATGCACAATGTTTTGGTGGGTGACTAGCTGTTTACTTACCATAGTTTCATAACTGAATAGTCATTAGCTCTTTTGGCTAAGTGAGGAACCCTGTAATGCTCACAGTTTCACAAGCACACCATTCAAATGTCAGTCAGTAAAAGGGATTAAAAAAAAGAAAAAATAGAAAACCTCCACTGAAATAGGCTACACAAATAAAATACAAGAGATCACTTTGTAACAGGAGGCCCTAACAGTTATTCTTGTAAAAGTGTGTTCATACCTATTTGGACGAAAAGGATCGAAGACATACAATAAAACACTTTCTGTTGATGGAAACTACTTTCCCTGGGTGACGAAATTGACCAAGCTCTAACAGCAGAGAGATTTTCTTCTTAGTTTAGAAAATAGCAAGAGTGAGAGAGTGTTGGTACCAAGGTTAAGAATTTCTCAGACTAAATGTATGATTTCTGAAAGTCCACTTCTTCTTATCTTGAGCTGTGGCTGTAAATTTACAAAAGTGTATATCTAATTATTTTTGCACACATTTTTCTGCTCACCTGACTTACACTTTACATTTGAAATGTCGATGGTTTTACTAAAAAAAAAAGTCCCATCGCAATCACGAGTGTGTCTATTTGAGATGAAGCAGATGTGTAAACAGAAAATCTAAACTCTTTTCACAGCCTTGTTCATTTTGCATACAGGAGAAACTCCTCCATTGTTTCAATAACAGCCTTCAGAGAATTTGTCCCACCAAAGATAGATAGAACTACACATAGTGCTGATGCTTAAGTTCAACAATGTAGGCCACTTTTCAGCAATACATTTATCAAAACACGCTTTGAAGGGCCTCAGAGGCTCTTTGCTTGATCTCACCAAGGACCCCAAATCTTACATAAGCTGCTTTGCCTAGACAAAAGCAGGATAAAAAAAACAACAACCTAACACAGCGCCTAGAGATCCTCACAGAACAACCTTCCAGCTACACAACTGGAGACGACACGCAAAGTTTGGGGCACAGTGCGGACCTCTTGTCTCCTCTGAGCCAGCATATGTCAGGCCGAGTCTGTCTCTCTCCAGTCTGCCTGCCACCGTGGAAACAGCAGGAGCACGTCTTCGCTCTGCCAACTGCCTGGCATCAGGCGCCCAGACACTTTCCAGAAACCTGCTGTCATGTCCCTGCCTCTTTAATAAATAAAAAAAACCCTGCAGTATCATAGAAGGGTATGACTTTAAAAAAATGCATAATCTAGCACTCAGCTGAGGCCGAAGTGTGTAAGTTAAGCATTGATTAGATCCATGTTTGAAGCATTCATTTGGTGATTTGATCTTAATATACTTCTAAGCTTTCTGATAAATGTCGTCTGAGCTCTGCTCCAAGAATTTCTGACAATTAAACGTCATATTCTCAGATGGAGTGAAAGATTCGCTGAACTTCATGACTTGAAGTCATGAAGGGCTAAGAGCAGAAATGAACTGAAAGTGGGTATAGTTTAAATTGTGATTGCATTTGTATAACAATTCAACCCGTAGCATTGGAAATGTAAATTGTATGCTATGATATGGTGTCTAAACACTTTTTAAAAGAGTGCTGATAACAAAAGGAGAAAGGGTATTTGTATATGTCTGTGATAGAGAGATTCAGGTCAGGCCACAGTTGGGTAGTAATAAGGAAATTGAGAAACACTGACCTCAGATTCACCCTCTCTATTCTGAATATGTCAGTGCTGTGCCTCACAGCCAACACACGCACACATAAACAAAACACACATACACACACAAATATTCAAATCGAGAGAAATGTTACTGCGATATAATAAATCTCCCTATCCCTACCCATAATTAACGCCATCACAATCGCTCCATCAAAGATTTCTAAGTCATAAAAATAGATATTTAAGTGATGTATTAACAGCTGAAAGCTGATTGTGTTGCATTGATTGTTTATCTAGGACTGTATTTATTGAATAAA